TTACGAGAGGCCAATTTAAAACTAAGTCCCAAGAAATGCTTTATGTTCCAAAAAGAAGTTAAATATTTGGGGCACATCGTATCTCGTGGTGGTGTTACAGCTGACCCAGAGAAGATTATAGCGATTCAAGAGTGGCCGATTCCTGAGAACAAGCACGAGATTCGAAGTTTCCTCGGTTTGTGCACCTATGATAGACGATTCGTGAAAGGATTTGCCAACATTGCCAAACCATTAATAAAGTTGACAGAAGAGGGCAATGAGTACGAATGGAGTGAAGACTGTCAAAGAGCTTTCGAACATCTCCGGCAAGCTCTTACTAGCGCACCTATCCTTGCGAAGGTAGCCCGAAAGTCACTCAAAACCATTTACAAGATCCTCTTTTAGGACACAATCATCATTGGAAGTCTGCGAAGTGTCGTGATGGACGAGACTTCTGGTTGGACAAACCCCGAAGCCTTCCAACCCGAGCGCTTCATTAGGAATGATCGAGTCCAAATCCCAGAGAACTACATCCCCTTTGGTTTGGGCAAACATAGATGTTTGGGAGAGAATTTGGCGAAGGCAAACGTTTTCTTGTTCGTCGCTGGTCTTCTTCAACAATTTAACTTTTCCATTGTGCCTGGTGAGCCCCCTACGGAGGAAGTCGTCGACGCAATGGTTCCTACTCCGAAACCGTTTGTCGCGTTGGTTACTAGGCGATAATAATAAGCAGATTAAGTATACATCTTTGGCTATTATGTGTTCCTGATGCTCAAGTATTAGGAGCACAGAGAGTTCAGGTTTTGTAACAACCCAAATGTCTCTTCAGTATATTTTTAAAGATTTGTTATGATACAGTTTAATAGTGTAACGGAACATCCACGTATTATATTCTCCAGTTCTTGCTAGATCTTTAGGTTGTGTTATGTACCCCTGATGCCTACTGGTCAATCCTATAAATATTAACTGTTCACTGCAGTATAGAACCACAAAAAGGCCTAGAGTTCATTGTCAAATACTCCCTGCCGTATTACCCTGACAGAGCTTGTCTCCTAAAAAATCGTTGGACTAAGGTCAGATAAGCTCAAAGATGCAAAATTTATCGACAAAATCTTCTTGATTTATTCTGCCCTTCTGACAATCATCATCTTCTAGACATCATTGCGCTAGGTCTACAGAAGCACAAGAAGATGGTTAATCTTCAAATAGTTTCGTTATACTTGCGGTTACCATTCATAAACAATTATCGAAGTGTAGATAAATAAATTCCGCGTCAACGTTGGTACAATTTTGAAAACCGGTAATGTAGAAACTCATCTATAACGGGAAAAGAATTAAAAAGAAACCTCTGCACGACCTCGGGCGGCAAAACAAAGAACTACTATAATAAGAACTCGACCACAAAAATAATTTGCAATTAAACCAGCTGGTTATATAGGACATGCCTAGATGGTGTAAAAATATTGAATATTCACTAGAGTGTATTACGCTTGTGCCGGTTTGTGCCGTAAAAAGTTTGCCAGCAAAACATACCGATTGGAAATTATTTTTTAGATGTTCTCGCGAGAAACATCTCCCTCTCACTGCTCTATCTCTATGGAGGCAGAGGAGGGTCCCTCCAAGCTCGATCACGACTATCCTACCGATGAAAGGTGGTTATCCTGACTCTCTGAAATTGCCGAAACCGCAAGCCTTAAGAAACTGATATTGGCCTGGGAAGACACAGTTTTTTAAAAATCTGAAGTGCTAGAGGCCTTATCACGTACTGAAACCATCTTTAGGGAGATGGTTGTCCGAATTCAAACTTGTCCGCGAAAGTGCCGGTAAAGTCCAAGGCGTCTCTTCCTACCCCAGCCCTCATGAGTTCCTCCGCTGTTGTCAAAACAGTAGTGCCAATTAAGTGCTATTTCCCGAATTAAATGCTCCTTTTTTTAAATTATGACATGTTTTGCCCAAACTCATATGAACCAGCAGAGCACTACCTTAAAAAACCAAGAAAATCAAAAGTGAACTAACTAATAATTAGGTACTAATTAGGTGCTAATTAACTCCCGAATTAAATGCTCCTTTTTTTAAAAAAATTATGATATGTTCCGCCAGGTTTATATAAACTCGGCAGAGCACTATTTTAATTAACCAAGTAAATGAAAATGAACTAACTAATAATTAGGTTGTAATTAGGTGCTAATTAAGTGCCCCCGATCCCCGAATTAAATGCTCCTTTTTTTAAATTATGACATGTTCTGCCAAGCCCATATGAACCAGCACAGTACTACCTTAAAAAACTAAGAAAATCAAAAGTGAACTAACTAATAATTAGGTACTAATTAGGTGCTAATTAACTCCCGAATTAAATGCTCCTTTTATAAAAAAATTATAATATGTTCCGCCAGGTTCATATAAACTCGGCAGAGCACTATTTTAAATAACCAAGTAAATGAAAATGAACTAACTAATAATTAGGTTGTAATTAGGTGCTAATTAAGTGCCCGATCCCCGAATTAAATGCTCCTTTTTCTTAAATTATGACATGTTCTGCCAAGCACATATGAACCAGCAGAGCACTACCTTAAAAAACCAAGAAAATCAAAAGTGAACTAACTAATAATTAGGTACTAATTAGGTGCCAATTAACTCCCGAATTAAATGCTCTTTTTTAAAAATTCTGATATGTTCCGCCAGGTTCATATGAACTCGGCAGAGCACTATTTTAAATAACCAAGTAAATGAAAATGAACTAACTAATAATTAGGTTGTAATTATTTAGTTATTTATTTATTTATTTGTTTAGCCAGATACCATACAGAATACAAGTATTCCAATTACATTGCACTGGGATGCTGTACTTAAAACTAAAACTACATAGTAATTACGATCTTATATGACTAATTAATTCATTCAAAGAGCCGTGAAATACATCGATGTCTCTCTCACGGCACTTCTTATTTAAAGCCAACAGGCTCCTCGATAGTGGCGATGACGGAGTGGTCACTAAAAAGATGATATCGTTTTTAGGTGCTAATTAAGTGCCCTTTCCCGAATTAAATGCTCTTTTTTTTTAAATTATGACATGTTCTGCCAAGCACATATGAACCAGCAGAGCACTACCTTAAAAAACCAAGAAAATCAAAAGTGAACTAACTAATAATTAGGTACTAATTAGGTGCTAATTAACTCCCGAATTAAATGCTCCTTTTCTTTTAAAAATTATGATATGTTCCGCCAGGTTCATATGAACTCGGCAGAGCACTATTTTAAATAACCAAGTAAATGAAAATGAACTAACTAATAAATAGCTTGTAATTAGGTGCTAATTAAGGGCCCGATCCCCGAATTAAATGCTCCTTTTTTTAAATTATGACATGTTCTGCCCAAGCTCATATGAACCAGCAGAGCACTACCTTAAAAAACCAAGAAAATCAAAAGTGAACTAACTAATAATTAGGTACTAATTAGGTGCTAATTAATTCCCGAATTAAATGCTCCTTTTTTTTTAAAAAATTATGATATGTTCCGCCAGGTTTATATAAACTCGGCAGAGCACTATTTTAATTAACCAAGTAAATGAAAATGAACTAACTAATAATTAGGTTGTAATTAGGTGCTAATTAAGTGCCCGATCCCCGAATTAAATGCTCCTTTTTTTAAATTATGACATGTTCTGCCAAGCCCATATGAACTCAGCAGAGCACTACCTTAAAAGTCCAAGAAAATAAAAAGTGAACTGACTAATAATTAGGCGCTAATTAAGTGCCCAATTCCCTTTTTTTAAATTATGACATGACATGACGGGATACTTCTGGATAAACCACGTCCTCCAGAGCAATGAGTTAGGTAACGCAGGACACCTTTGCCCAATAAGGAACACATCTCCGCCAGACCCAGAGGAAATTTTACAAACGCTAGCTGTGGGTGCAAAAAGACCGACATACGGGTAAATAACCATATAGACCCTGTTCTTAAACTAGTTCAAGGTCGATCACCACCTGGCGGCGACCTTGAACAATAGCTCAAGGTGAAGTTAAAAGTTCACTCGGCAACTGGCGGTGACCTTTGAAAGTTGGTGGAGGTAAAACTCAATCCCATTTTACCCTCTCTCCAGATGTCACGCGGAAGATAGGTCAAGGCACCATTCGGTCGTTCAGCCCGAGCTTCAGGAGGAAAATAAATCCAGACCTCGGAAAATGGGATCAATATTTGCCCTTTAAATAATGACCTTGTACTTTAAGGTCATTTGACGGTGACATTATATTTAAATAGGGTTCATACGACATTGAAAACCAAATAAAGGCCATAACCAGCAATATGTTCAAGGGGCGATGGGATCTTAGGGAGAGTGCCAGTTCAATGTAACGTTGAACTTCTTTAGTGGAGAGGAGTAGTGATTATAAAGTCTCGCATTCATTGATAGTGTATGCTGAGTACTCGTGACCAAAGCAGTCGATAAGCATAGAAGGATAATAGGAATATCCATATAAAATTCGACAAGGTGAAATTCGGGTGCCGTCAAATGTTATCTCGCTCTCCTCCTGACAATGGCTTTCAAAACTAAATAGAGACCTCAAATGTGGTGATCTTCGAAATTGAATCAGTGTAAAGTTGCCGATTAAAGTTCAAAGGTTGGTCTCCGTTCAAAGTTTGTTCACCGTTCAAAGTCCAAAGGTTGAACAAATTAAACATTTTTGATCTTCCTATATTGGAATGGTAGCTATAATCGCAAAACTCTACCCTTAACTCCTTGACCCCTTCTGACGGCTCGGAACTTTATTACACAATCACCAGGGGAGCACGCATTCGCGAAAAAATGGAACTGCACGAATTATTATTTTTTATTTCCTATATATCTACTTTTTTTAGATTTACGAGATAAAATTGTAGTGAACGTAACTAGTGCCTTAAAAGGTTTTAGAGACGGAGTGAAACCTTGCACATCTTCAAAAACTAAAGCGTCTCCAGGTACCGCCTCAAAATTGAAAGCCTGCAAAAGACAGGCGACTGTAAGGAAAACGTTCGCCCGTGCGAAGACTTCCCCGGGGCATCTCCGCCTGCCAATACCGAACATAATGCAGTCATCAGGAACGCTCGATCTGCCGTCCTTCATAAAACGTTGTGGTTGAAACGCCATCGGATCTTTAAAACGACAATTTGGATCTAGAAGCGTGGCCCTTAGTCGTGACTGTATGAGGGTGTCCTACCAAAAATTATCTGACTGACCGCTGCTATTGAGTTACGCAGTTTACCTTTGGAATGAAGTACGGCGTCCTTAATTGCCCTTCTCGGCCCTAAGAAGAGTCTGCCGCTAAACGCGCGCAGAGTTTCCAAGACGACACATTCCAGATACTGGAGCCTACAAGTGGAAGATGAATAATTTGCTTAGCGCTTACAGTGTTTACCGTGGTCTATCGTCGAGGCTCGGAAGCGTACTTCTTCCGACCACGCTGTCAATTTCGTCTTGCACCCTTCTCCGAACATCAGGATGGCGTAGGATATGGAAGAAGAGGAAGCCCAGCGCGTTGTTGGTCGTTTCAAAGCCTCCAACGAGCATGTCTAGGCAAATGGCTAACAGCTGATCCTCGCAGAACCCATCCTCCTTTCCTGAGTCTATCACCTCTTGGTATCGTCGGATGAAACCATCAGGCCAGAAGGCTTTTACTTTCTGGTGGAAAAAGGCAGTTATCTTCTGGTGCATGTCTACGTACGTATTGTATCCACAGTACTCCGGGCAGAGGTACCTCAGGAGGGGAAACATGCCAAAGGCCGAGCTTGTGAACGAAATGTTTTCCGAAAAGTTCTCCATGACACCGTACAGCTTCTTAAATTCTTCGCCTTGTGTGTTAGTTTCCGTGCCCGTCATCAGAGTGCACACTGATGCCAGGGTCTGCACTGAAAACAAATGGTTGACGCACATCGTGCCACTTTCTTGGATTCTTGACTTCATTCCCTCAATCACTGCGCTCGCCTGCCTTTGGAGAAGAACGTCCATAAATTCTTTGCAGTTCTTTTAGCATGAAGCTCTTCTGCTTGTGAAGTAGTTCGGACTCGATACATATTATACCCCTTCTCGTTCCACCAGTCCTACTTTTGGTGATTATATCATCTGGTCTACCATTGAGCTCATCCTTCGTCAGTAGCTCCCTCAGCGCGTCCAATCCATCGACGAATAAGGTACGCTGACGTCCAATACGCGCTCCAACCACCGGACCGTATTGCAGCCTCCACGCCTCGGCCGCGTTCGCCATTGAGCCTGTCTTGCGGATGAGCCGTTGAAATTGCCAAGCGCATCCTACAATAGGAAACCACCTAGGGCCCGGCGGAAAGTTTTTCGGCTTCTTCGTGTCCAGGTACAGAAGCAATGCCAATATACTCGCTAGTGCTAATATCAATATTAACATCTCCTAAATTCTTACTTTGTGCGTGATTAACCCCAATACTGCTCGACTAGAGATGTCCAAACTGATGCCCAATTTGTTTGTTTTATCAGTGTTAAGGGTTATCGTCACGATACCAGTTATTTATCATTCTGTTGAAGGCCTTGCTAATCAACTTGGTGGATTAGAAGGTGAGAGCTCCGCATCAACTAGGTGCTGCTTTACACGTGCTAAATGCAAAATTCCCTTTCTTGCATATTATGTTTTCTTGATACAACTTTCTCACAGAAACACAACGTCGTTTAAAACGTATTGAAAATCATCTTCTGTCGTATTGTTTTCTTAAAAATTGGAACATCCACGTCGCGGGGGGCTCATATTGTCTGCACTCTTCCTCACCTATTATGTTAACCTGATACTTTTTTATGACGCACACAGAAGCGTAAGAATGTAAAATGTACTAAGAGATTTTGGCAGATACCTTCCCGGGTATCGTGTTCTCCTGATACCAATTTTTCTAATACGCAGTCTAGAATCAGAACCACAAATGCCAGAAAGTGGGTCGATTTTCTCATCCATTGTGCCGTCCTGATCCAATGTTTTTTATTTGTATCAGGCGCCCATAACCAAAAGAATATGTAAAATACCTCAACAGGTTTAAGAGGGTGTAGGGGAGGAGTTGGGGAGAGGTTTGAAGGAAGAAATGAAAGATCCGATGAATCTGAAGAAAGATAGAAAGAATCTAAAAAGTTAAAAGGAATTAAAGAAAGGAGTAGAAAACCATTAAAAAGATCTGAACATTACAGATTGTGACAAATTACAGTTTAGGAGATTTAAAAAATGTCTGAAGCTGACCATTTCCCTATACCTATATTGTTATTTTTCCCAGAAGTGAATTAAGGTGAAAGCGAAGATTCAAACACTAAAATGCGTTTAACAAAATTTTTCCTTCACGTATAAAACACTTTACCAGGTTTTTGGGTTTTATGGGTGCGTTTTTTTGGGGTTTCGTAAATATTTTTATTGTCCCAGAAGAGAATTAAGGTGAAAGTGAAGATTCGAACACTAAAATGTGTTTAACAAAATTTTTGTTTCACGTATTTCACTTCACTGGGTGTTTTGGATTTGATGAGTGCACATTTTTCGGGGTTTCGCAGAGATTTTTATTTTTCCAGAAGTGAATTAAAGTGAATGTGAAATTTTTCCTTCACGTATAAGACACTTCACTGGGATTTTTGGGTTTTGAGTGCGCTTTTTTGGGGTTTCGTAAATATTGTTGTTTTTCTCAGAAGCGGATTAGGGCGAAAGCGAAAATTCAAACACTAAAATGCGTTTAACAAAATTTTTCCTTCACGTATACGACACTTTACTGGGTTTTTGGGTTTTATGGGTGCGTTTTTTTGGGGTTTCGTAAATATTTTTATTGTCCTAGAAGAGAATTAAGGTGAAAGTGAAGATTCGAACACTAAAATGTGTTTAACAAAATTTTTGTTTCACGTATTTCACTTCACTGGGTGTTTTGGATTTGATGAGAGCACATTTTTCGGGGTTTCGCAGAGATTTTTATTTTTCCAGAAGTGAATTAAAGTGAATGTGAAATTTTTCCTTCACGTATAAGACACTTCACCGGGGTTTTTGGGTTTTGAGTGCGCTTTTTTGGGGTTCCGTAAATATTGTTGTTTTTCTCAGAAGCGGATTAGGGCGAAAGCGAAAATTCAAACACTAAAATGCGTTTAACAAAATTTTTCCTTCACGTATACGACACTTTACTGGGTTTTTGGGTTTTATGGGTGCGTTTTTTTGGGGTTTCGTAAATATTTTTATTGTCCCAAAAGCGAATTAAGGTGAAAGTGAAGATTCGAACACTAAATTAATGTGTTTAACAAAATTTTTGTTTCATGTATTTCACTTCACTGGGTGTTTTGGGTTTTATGGGTGCGCTTTTTTGGAGTTTCGTAAATATTGTTATTTTTCCCACAAGTGAATTAAGGCGAAAGCAAAGATTCAAACAATAAAATGCGTTTAACAAAATTTTTCCTTCACGTATAAGACACTTTACTGGGTTTTTGGGTTCTATGGGGGCGCTTTTTTGGGATTTCGCAAATATTTTTATTTTTCCAGAAGTGAATTAAAGTGAAGGTAAAAATTTGGAATACCTGACAATTTCCCTGCAATTATTATCAATAAACCGTCTCTATATACACATGAACGAATTCCATGTATATACTGAGGGGTATTGTTGACTGGGGGGTATTCCCCCTGGTACTACGTTCTGTTTTGGGTAAAGACATAGAACTGGGGGGTATGGAACCCGACCATTACCCTACAGTCATCATTATCCTCAAGGAACCATCTTTATACTCATATGCACAAATTTCTTGTATACTGAGAGGTATTGTTGACTGGGGGGCATTGACTGGGGGGATATTCCATACCCCTCAAAATTAGATCTCTCGAAAGACGCGATCCCTAAGGTTTATCAAGGTACTTTGCGAGGCAATGAAATCTTTCTTTCCTCACGAGTGCTCTCCACGTGTTTTCTTTCAAAGTTTAACGGTAACTTTTCAGTATGAAAGGACACTAGCCTCTTTTTGGAAAAAAACAAAGAACTGAAGGGTCTGGGGGCTATGGAATACCTGACTATTTTCCCACAATCATCATTACTCTCAAGAAACCGTCTTTGTACAAATATGTACAATCATTATTATCCTCAAGGAACCATTTTGATACTCATATGTGCAAAAATTGTTGTATATAACCGCATTAGCCTCTTTTTGGGGAAAAACAAAGAACCCGGGGGGGGGGGCTGGAATACCTGACCATTTCCCAGCAATCATCATTACCCTTAAGAACTCGTTTTTATATACATATGTACCGAGTGACCCAATAAGACTGTTCCTCGGCCATATCTCGGGAACCGTTCGTCGTATGACTTAGGGGTAAAATAAATGATTAGGTAAATCGGTTATGAAGAATCGCTGGAAAATATTTTCAAATTCTAAACATGACCACCAGAGGGCGTAACTGCCATCTTAAATCTTAAAATTGCATTTTCTTTAAATTTCGCATAATAAACTAAACATTCTTTTTTCACATTTTTAAAGAGAACCTGTTTATCTATCATTTTTGTAAAAACAAAAACTCAGTTATTTCAAAAACAAAGATGGCGTGGGGCGTTCAATTGTTTTTGCAATAACCTGCTTTAACTTCTTAACAGTTTGACCGACTGTAACAAATTTGGTATCGTTGAAAAGGGCATTCCTTGGGCAACAAGAATCAACCAAAATACAGTTAATTTAGTTGAATCCTTCTCCGCCAGGGGGCTAGTTTTGACACTATGATCCAAAATCCTAAAAAAGTCAAAAAAATCAAATAGAATTATATGACTTTTTCTTTATGAAAAAGTAGCCAAATAACACCCAAAGGGGCCAGTGTAAACCGTTTTTCAAAACCTCGTTCCTAACCTCAAATATTGGGAAAATGAGATTAATTCATTAATTAATAAAAATGCTTAAATTGTATCGTATTTGACGTATTTCCGGTATTTGTCAAAGGCGCGAAAGATTGTTTGAAAAAGGACCCTACACTTTTAGGTAGGTTAGGTTAAACAAATGAAACACGATGCATTATAAAATAGTAACAGCCGTACTTTGTAAATTATTCTGCTGTGTTTACATTCAGAAAGTGCAGTTTTTTGAATTCGTAATCTTTTCTAAAATGCCGATTTCTAACCAAGAAGCATTTAATATGCTGGCGGCGATGGTTCGTGGTCGATTCGGATAACGCAAATAGAAGATGTGGGCAGCGATGGTCGCATTTTGAAAATACTCAAAATATATCGCCAGCATATTAAATGCTTCTTGGTTAGAAATCGGCATTTTAGAAAAGATTACGAATTCAAAAAACTGCACCTTCTGAATGTAAACACAGCAGAATAATTTGCAAAGTACGGCTGTTACTATTTTATAATGCATCGTGTTTCATTTGTTTAATTTTCCAAGGCCAAGGCCAGTAAATGAGAATTAGTCCGAAAACGAGAAATGAGTGGAAAAGAAGATAAAATATCGGCGATCAACAAAATTCAGGCAGATAAAACAAGCGGAAAGAGAAGAGGAACAGAAGAAGTTTCATAATATAGAACCTGAAAGTAGCAGAGGAAAAAGAGAATGGGCAGGGAAATTAATGTAAAAAGTAAAGGCCTCGGGAAAAGAAGACAAGGTTGGCAGAAGTAATTGTTAGAGAACCGTATCATCAATAGAGGTGCAGAAGAAGATAATTACGGAAAAGTTAAAAAATAATAAATAGGAAAAGGGGAGGAGTAATGGGAACAGTAGGTATATAGAAGTATGGAGAAAGGCCAACAAATCGTAAATAAAAAAATCTAGAAAGCAAGGTCAACGTCATGCAGTAAGGGAAACGAGAAAAAAAGATCAACGAGCAGCAGAATTGCAGTAAAGGAACAAACGAAAGAAGAAAAAGAAAGGGGACAAACAGATGAACGTCGGAAGAGAATGGGGGGTAAAGAAATTGAAGGCTAAGTGGGAGTATAGAAATGTTAGAGATCTCTAGAGAACAAGGAGAAGAGGAAAGGAAGAAAAGCAAAAAAACTCGTATATAAAAAGATAAAGACACAAGATGTGAGTATAATATGAGCGGAGAAGAATGCCAAAAATCGCCGGGGTGCAGCTGAATAGAAGTGAAAAAGAAAACGAAAGGAAAAAATGGTGGAAATGAGAAAGAGAATAAAAGATCTACGAACAAGAGGTTTGAAGTAGAGAAACAAACCAAAGAGGAAAAGAGCCGAGGAAGTTTGATGACAAAAGAATCGGGAAGTAGCAGATGAAAACAAAAGGTAACAACATTAACGTCAAAATAGAACAAAGTAGGAAAAAATGTCAAAGCGAAAACAAAAGCCAAAAACAAAGACAAAAAAGAGGGCTGAAAGAAAGAATGTGCACGGTTGCAGGGTTGGTTTTTTTCCATGAGCAAGATAGGTACGTAGTATGTTTATTTCCAGGCCGAGATTTTTTTCCGATAACGGGGGAAGTACACGTGGAGGTATTTCAAATCTCAAGGAGTGACATTGGACACACCTCCCATTCTTCATAAAGTTATCTCTGGTTTTCCATTTATCGAAGGCGTGGAAAGGTCGATCTAGTGAACGTCTTAGATTGCGCACATGTCGCCATATAACAAACGAAAGGTCACCTCAAGGTACAAAATGTGACAGTGCAGGTTTCGTATCTTATCTCTGCTACTGCTTAAGTATGGCAGTCCCATTTCCCCGCTTGGAACTCGACAAGCTTGTCACTCACAATGTCAACGTGCGATGATCGTGGCGTTGGATACGCCTACTATCAGTCCATGAAGAATCACGGGAAGAAGACGGCTCAGGTAACCAACCCCAGTTACATTCGCCTCCAATTATTAATCGCCTTTAGTTTGATGTAGTCACCAAGAAAGAGCAGAGCTTCGAGGAGCTATTGCAACGTTGCATCGGCGCCGCCCTCGCCATCGAAGATGCTGGGCTAAAACCTGGCGACTTCGTGACCACGTGCTCCCTGAATCACCTGGACGTTTGCGTTCCTTACCTCGCGTCTTTGTTTACTGGCACGATTAGCGCGTCTGTTGAGGCTACGATGCCCGCGCAGGAAATGGTCTACCTTCTAAACCAGGTCGGTCCCAAAATAATTTTCGTTGGTCCAGAAGCGGTGGAGGTGGTGGAAGAGGCTGTGGAGAAGCTCGACACTAAGCCGCTGATTGTTGTCTTTGGTGACACCGGCTGCTACCCTTCTTTCTCCGACTTCATCGCGCCTTTTTCGGGGGAGAATGCGTTTCGGCCGCGGATACCGGAGAGTCTAGAAGAAACCGCCTTGGTACTTTTCAGCAGTGGAACAACTGGCTTGCCCAAAGGTATCTGCCACACGCACAGATCGATGTTGGCCAATAGCGAGTACTGGTGAGTTAAACGTGTCGAATGCCCAATCTGTAATGCTCAACAGGATTGTAGACGATTGCTCTACAGCCGCTTGGTTCACGACGCCCTATTGGTCCACTTTCTACCTCAATCTGCACATGTGCATTCGAAACGGGTTGTGTAGAGTGCTTCTCCCACCTTTTGACAAAAACAATCCATGGTCAGTACTGGAGCACAAAATCGACTTCCTACTGTCAAATCCGCTGCAGGCGCTCGCTTTTACAAAGCAAAGCCCTCGTGACAATGTCGACCTGGGAAACTTGTTTCGCTTCACCTTCGCAGGTTACGGCTTGCCCGAAGCGCACATTTTGGAGCTCCGGAAGAAGTTCCCCAAGTCTGAACTGGTAAACGTGTACGGACAGTCGGAATTCTTCGGCGTGCCCTTCCAGTTCCCTTGCGATTCCCGCGGACTGAGACTCTCGCGAAAATATCCTACGTCCGCAGGAACTCCCAAAAGCCACATCTCGTGGAAGGTAAACGCCATGATCCTTCGCCTGAAATAGTAACGTAGACCTTTCCAGATCGTCGATTTGGAAACGGGGAAGCCGCTCGGCCCCAACCAGCAAGGCGAGCTTCTGATTAAGGCAGATTTTCAGTGCAAGGGATACCACAACCGCGACTCGTCCGAGGTGTTCGACTCGGAGGGATACGTGAAGACCGGAGATATCGCCTACTACAACGAGGAAATGTGCTTCTTCATTGTCAATAGGATCAAGGAGAGTTTTAAGTATCAAGGCATCCACATCATACCGAGCGAAATCGAGGCCGTCCTCCAGTCGCATCCTTCCGTGGCGAGGGTCGTGGTTGTTGGTCTGCCACACGAGACCGATGGCAATCACCCCATGGGCGTCGTCGTGCTAAACGATAAGGCAGGGAAGGTGTGCGAGGGGGAACTGTTAAAGTTCATCGAGGATAGGGTTGAAGATAAGAATAGGCTGAGAGGGGGAGTGACGTTTGTTAAAAAACTTCCCTTGACTGTCACTGAGAAGCTCAATCGCTTTAAGCTTACACAACTTGTGCTCAGTAATCAATTACATTTACTCAACTAATTTACGGTTCGAATCCACTTCAAGTTTTTTTTTAGATCCGAAATCAAAAAGTCAAATGGGTGGGCGTGCGTTGTTTCATGGAACAAATTGTGAAACTTAGGCTTCAAATACAATGCTATAGAACCCATCACTTTTTGAATTCACGTTTTAGGTTGCTTAGTGCTTCGGGCATTGGAATTGATAACTGTCGAGCAAAGTACAGCGCCTCAATTGCTGTCTCGCAATAAAAGTGTTCCTATCGAAGATAAAATGATAGCGTTAGACATTTTTTCGTTTGGGGGAAGTGGTGCGAATGAGTTTCGGAATCTCGCACTCGCACTGAAGAATATGCTGCCTCTGAAAGATTCGCACGAAGAAAAAATTTGAGTGTGAGGTAGCAGGTGGTCTTCGGATTCTTCGTATCCTTGGAATATCTCGGATTTCTTAGGTTCATCGGATTTTTTTCTTCGGAATCTTGATTCTGCAGATCCGTCGGATTTTCGGAATTTTCTGAATTTCTCAGGTTTTCCGTAGCGACAGGATTCTATAGGTTCATCGGTTTCTTCGAATTCTTTGTATTTTTCTTCGATTTAAAATGTTCGGGTTCATTGAATTCTTCGAATTCTTTGGACCTGAGGGGTGGCACACTATCAGGAGCGTCCGCAGGTGGTGGATCTGGGGATGGTGTAAGCGAATGCGCGTAAGTAACGCGTAGGGTTAATGGTAAGAACAAGGATGCTCGTCGCTTATGAAGGAGTGACCGGTAAACAGAATCGTAGACCAGCTACTCCGCCCAATTGTCGGGTCGTGGCACGGAGTTCGATGTGCGCAAACGTTGATAGACCATGCACGAACCTGGAAGGCTCTGGGTGGTCGTGGTGGGGGTGGGGAAGATCTATCAGCAAATAACCCAAATCCCAAGGGCCAGAAGGTCGGGCCGAGGGGTTGCGAAATATTTCGAAAACGAAACCAATTACTCTGGAATTACTTCTAAGGGGGAACAGAGTAGATTGGGAAATGATCATACACATTTTCATTTGCTGGAGGGTATGAGTAAGTATTCATTTCCCACCGATACTACGTTCTCGGCAATACGGAGGAAAGGATCTGTTAAAACTACCTTAACAACCCTCAAGCGAGTTATGAGGATTAAACCGTTTGTGGAGGAAGGTGCGATACCGAGTGGTCTGGGCCCTTGAGTTTCGTAGAGGTTTCTTAAAGTACCTTAAACACTTTTTGCAAACGGTCTTAAGAACCACAAGGTAATTAAAGCCCTAAGAAAGATCAAAGGAACTATTGAAGACCCTTACAGTTCTTTAAAAACCATTAAATGCACCCCTAAACCTCATAAACACTCCTAAACGATTAGCAAAAAAAATGGCATTGGGATTATCTATACGTCCAAATTTATTTCCCTAGTACCGCGGATTTAAACACTCAGTGCTAGTACTCAAGCTTAATCCTAATGCGATTGATTGACTCGCAATTGCCATTGTTCTAAAGATACAAGATACAAGGGTAGTAACAATTAAATCCAGGAAACACTGATATATTATTCTTTGACGACAACCAAAATTAAATTAAGCTTTCGAGACCCATGCAAAATAAATAATTCAAACATGTACTTACGTTAAAATTTAACCAAAACCTCAAGAAATCCCCTAATTCAATAATGATCATGTGCTGAAATGAGTCCGAAAAAGTAGAATGAGCCCTCGAGCAAAAATCCGCATCGATAATAAAAGTAAAAGGAACCATTCAAGAACAAATCATACCTTGCATCTAATAAATCGCCCAGAAAACCGAGTTTTCCGACCTAAGCTTGGGTAAGTAATGCCTTGATGAGCTTTATAGGACCACCGACTCTTTCTTTACTGGGTCGTTTTGAACTCCGAAAGTTTTAACACAATTTTTCCAAAACTGTCATCAACATTTTTCTTTGCATACCCACCAGACCCCCCGATAGTACGGAGGAAATCTGATAAACCTTCCCCAACAGCCCTCAAGCGAGTCCTGGAAAATAAACGGTTAGAAGAAGAAGGTATTACCGGGGGGTCTCGGTTGTATGGAATACCTACAGTAGAAAACAGATTTATAGCGTAAGGGTTATCGATGTCTTTTTTGGTGGTCGGTTCTGAGCCCTGATTGCTTTAACATTATTTCCCGAAATAGTGGGGGTTTATTGAAGATATTCCATGCCCCCCCTCCCCCCAAAGCCCAGTCGCTCTAGGCCGTACGGAAAAAAGGATGTGATAAACCTCCCCCAAGAACACTTAAGCGAGTCCTAAAGATTAAACGGTTTGTAGAAGAAGGTGTTATTTGGAGGCATACCCCCCAGTAGACAACAGATCCATTGGCATTTCCAGAATGCCACCATAAGAGGGTACTGGGGTTGAAAGGGTAAGGGTTATAAAGTCCTTCTTTGATAGGTGGTTTCGAACCTCTACCTCTTTAATCTTCCCAAAGTGGTCATAGGCATTTTCGTTTATTGGAAAGTTCCATACCCCCCAGAGAGCTACTCTCTCGGCAGCACGGAGGAAAGTATTTGATAAATTTTCCCCAACAGCACTCAAGCGAGTCCTGAAAATTAAAGGGTTTGTGGAAGAAGATGGGGGAGGTCTGGGGGTATGGAATACCTCCTAGTAAACAACAGCTCCATTGGCATTTCCAGAATACCACCATAAGGGGGTACTGAGGTTTAGATGGTAATGGTTATCAAGCGCTTTGGTGGGTGGTTTTGAACCCCCACCGTTTTAACATAATTATCCCGAAACAGCCATAGGCATTTTCTGGGTATTCCATAACCCCCAGACCTCCCGGCGCTACTTTTTCGGCAGTACGGAGGAAAGGATCTGATAAAACTTCTCCGACAACAAGCGAGCCCTGAAAATTAAACGGTTTGTGGAAGGTGTTACCGGTGGGGGTCTGGAATACCCCCCAGTAAACAACAGCTCCATTGGCATTTCCAGAATACCACCATAAGGAGGTACTGAGGTTTAGAGGGTGAGTGTTATAACGTCCTTCTTTGTAGAGTGCTTTTAACATAATTTTTCCGAAATGCTGGGGGTTTGTTGGGGGGGGGGGAGGTATTATATACCGCCCAGATCCCCCGGTGCTACGTTCTAGGCCGCACGGAAAAAAGGATCCCATAAACCTTGCCCTACAACACTCAAGCAAATCCTGAAGATTAAACGGTGTGTGGAAGAAGGAGTTACCGGGGGGTTTGGGGGTATTTAATACTCCCCGGTAAAGAACAGCTCCATTGCCATTTTCAGAATACCATCAAAAGGGGGTTATGCGGTTTACAGGGTGAGTGTTATCAAGTCCTTCTTGCATGGGTGGTTTTGAACCTCCACCACTTGAAAACAATTTTCCTGAAATGGACATAGGCATTCATTTCCATTTGCTGGGGGTATTCCATAGCCCTCAGACCCTCCGATGCTACGTTTTCGGCATGTACGGAGGAAAGGATCTTATAAACCTTCCCCAACAAACTCTAAGACCTTTCGCTGACATCTGGATCGATAGTGGAACAATAGGCTCATTTTTGAGAGTCAAAAATGCGCTAAAAATGGCACCGCATTATATACGAAGGCCCTTTTGCAGGTGACAATGTTGATACAGAATTGAATTTAGTGAAAATTGACCTTGGAACAAGTTGACCTTGGAAATGAAATTTGAGACAAAAAACGAGTTGACCTTGAAAATTAAACATGACGCCCCAAAAAAAGTAAGCTTGAGAAGGAAATATGACACTGCATCTTGCAAATGCAATGAGACAAAAAAAATATGCCCTTGAAAATGAAATATGACCCCAAAGAAAAATGTGACCTTGAAAATGAAATATGACACTTTGAAATGAAATATGAGCCGGAAAAAAGGGCAACCTTGAAAATATAATGTAACACCCAAAAAATGAAATAAGACACTACCTTGAAAATTAAAATGACACCCCAAAGAAAGAAAATAGGATTTAAATCTTGGGGGGGGAGTGGCCATTATCCTTGACTTACTTTCCAAGATCACCGCCACGTGGCAGGCGACTTTTGAACCTCACCTTGACCTACTTTCCAAGGTCACCGCCAGGTGGCTGGTCCAGAACCGGCCCTACTACCCTACTAAGGATCTTATAAACCTTCCCCAACAAACCTTAAGACGTTTCGCTGTCGTCTGGATCGATAGTGGAATAATAGGATCCTTTTTGAGAGTCCCAAATGCGCTAAAAATGGCACCGCCCTTTTGCTTGCAGGTGATAATGTTGATAAAGAATTGGTCGTGCACATTCGAATCTCACCGCCGACGATTTTCAAGTGACGCAAAATTTCTAGGAACGCTGTCTTTTCCCGGTGTATCCTTGTATTTTAAAAGTTACGAGCAAACCACCATTTTTACCAACACAAATTTTTTGGGTTAGAGAGCTTGACAAAAAAATTGGTAAAGCTTGGTTATATTATCACAAGTTGGAAAAACACTAGGTGTAAAAATTGGACTTTGGTACTCCTTATTGGCTGTTGTCTTTTGACGGGAAAGAACAAAAGAAAAGCCTGTGTTATTTTCTAAACCTTCTTTGCGTCGTGGGATTACAAAGATGAAAAGGGTCAGGATCCGTTCATTAAGTTTCACCCACTTCAGTTAGTTGGCCACCCTACATTTGTTTATTTACTACCCTAGGTAGTCTTCCTCAGATCAAAATATCACAGTCCCTAAATGCTACAATTTATTATCATTTCTCTTAGCTTAAACCGGTTGACCTTATCCGTAACGGTGAGTGGAATTGCTCTGACAAACTTTACACCGGCCCTGAGGCGGTTCTTGTCGGCGACCCTCTGTTCGACGTACCTCACGATTTCTTCCTCGGAAACGCGCGGCCCTTTCGGATGCAACTGGATCACCGCCATCGGGTGGTTGTTTTCGGTCTCGTGAGGAAGACCCAGGACCACGGCTTTCGCAATAGCAGGATGCGAGAGGAGGACGTGCTCGATTTCGCTAGGTATGATATGATGGGCTTGGAACTTGAAGCTCTCTTTCATCCTGTTCACGACGAAGAAGCACATCTCCTCGTTGTAGTAGAACAGGTCTCCGGTCCTCAGCCATCCCTCGTGGTCGAAGGCGTCGGACGAATCACGATTGTGGTAGCCTTTGAATTGGCGTTCGGTTTTCAGCAGAAGTTCGCCCTGTTGGTTGGGGCCCAATGTCTGCCCCGTCTCAATGTCGACAACCTAAAAGAGCTTAAGTCACAATACAGTTACGTTGGGTGCGAGTCACCTTCCAAGAGACGGTATCCTTAATAATGCCGACGCACGTCGGGTACTTTATCGTCAAATCCCATGAGTTAGTGTGGAAGGGATACAAAAATGGACCTCCGAAGAGTTCAGTTTGTCCGTACATGTTCACGACCTTAGTCAGAGGAAACCTCGAGCGCAACCTCAAAATTTGCTCCTTCGATATATCGTTGCCGCCAAAGGCCATGTATTTCAAATTCTGAAAGTCCACGCCATCGGGAGGTTCGTGAGCTAAAAAGCTAAGAGCTTGTAACGGATTGACCATAACAAGGTCAATTTTGAAGTCGAATATTCTCCACGGATTGCTAACGTCAAAGCGGGGATACACAATTTTGCGCAGCCCGTGTATAATGCACATGTGCTGGATGGCGTGGTAGCTGACCCAGTAGGGAGTTGCAAATCCAGCGATGGAAGAAAAACTTTTCCCGATTCTAAAAAAATGGAGTTCAGGCCAGTATATCCCAGGTTTCCACTTACATGTATTCGTAATCAGCCAGCATAGATTTGTGGCTATGGCAAATTGCTTTGGGCCGACCAGTTGTTCCACTGCTAAAGAGGACTAAAGCAGTTTCGTTCACATCCACCGGTACTCGTGGTGCAAATCCCTTTGTGGGGCGTGCTATAAACTCGGAGAAAGAGGGGTATTTGCCGCTTTTCCCAAAAACCACAACAAGTGGCTTGGTTGTCAGGTCCTCCACAGCCTTTCTTATAGTTTCAACCGCCTCCCGACCAACAAATATTATCTTGGGCTCCACCTGGTTGAGCAAGTGGACCACTTCCTGGGCCAACATGGTGGGTTCGACGGCCGCACATATCGCACCGGTAAATAGCGACGCTAGGTACGGTACGCCCACGTCGAGATGGTTCAGTGAGCAAATGGAGATAAAATCGCCAGGTTTTAGCCCCTCACTCTCCATTGCTACGGCAGCTCCAATGGAACGCTGCAGCAGCTCTCCATACGTCTGCTCTTCGCCGGTGAGTCCGTCGACCTAATTAACCACTTTAAAAGTACAACAAATGGCATCTCCAAATTACCTGTGCAATTTGGTGCTGGTTTTTCTCCATCAGCTGGTAGTAGGTGTACCCCACCCCTTTAGAGTTGAGCGCTGTCGTTGCTTCGGGCATCGGAATTGGTCAATGACGAGCAAAGTGGAACGCCTCATTTATATGTGCACGTCACGCTGTTGTCTCACAATTACATGGCAATAACGTGAATTTCTTATCTGATAGTCTGCTTTATCGTCCGACATTTTTTCGTTTTGGATGAAGTCCCGCGAATGACTTTTGGAATTTCGCACTTATGTTTCTAAACATCCGATTTAAAAAGTTGAAAAATGCGAATATGATAATATACTGAACGTCATGGATCTGAAAGATCCAAACAAACAAAAAATCGCAAGAGTATGAGAATCTCCGGTATGAATTTGAATGTTCGAAGAAGGTTCCCAAAGAATGGATACATCTGCAGATCCCCATTTTTGAGATTTTTGTTTTTGTTAGAGCCCTTTGGATCCTCCAGATACCTCAATTTATTCGAATTCCTCGGATTAACCGACTACGCGAATACGATTTTCCGTATTCACAGCGCCCTTCGGATTCTAAATTTGATTTAATTTTCTTCGAAATTTCGTCGTGAAGTTTGAGTAGATTTGGCAATTTCAAATCATAGAAATTCACAGATCATCAAAATCTAGTAGGTTCAATTGCTTTGTCAAATAAATAATATTCAAGAAATAAATTTGCCAACCGCGGTACAAATGTGGTGCGTTTTTTGCAACGCTTAATTTCTACGGAACATTGTTTCGGAACTCTCTTTTAATTTTTAATTAGTGCTATTTAGTTACAATTGCTAGCGCAGCATTAGGTCACTCTCATGATCAGGAGGAGACTATATTCAGCAAGATTTCGATTCTTTCGGTCCTTTCATGAATATAACTTAAAGATAATAGTGGGAATTAGTTTTGCGGAAGATTTAATCAGGCCTGTGACTGCCAGGGATCGCTGTATAATCTGAAAATTAGAGTTGTTAATTAATTGGCGTCGGGATTTCAGTAGAGCCAATGGCATCGAGTGATTCCCGATAGAAGGATTGTGTGTTTAGAATATAACACAAGCCTTTCTCCAGTTCTTTCCCCTCAAAAGACAACAGCCAATAAGGAGTACTACAGTCCAATTTTTACGTACCTAGTGTTTTTCGAGCTTGTGATAATATAACCAACCGTTACCAATTTTTTTGTCAAACTCTTTAACCCCTTTGGTAAAAATGGTGGTTTGCTCGTAACTTTTACAAAAAACAAGGATGCACCGGGAAAAGACAGCGTTCCGAGAAATTTTGCGTCACTTGAAAATCGTCGGCGGTGAGATTCGAATGTGCACGACTAATTCATTTCCACTGAAGGGTAATTATATCCAATCCAATTCTTTATCAACATTGTCACCTGCAAAAGGGCGGTGCCATTTTTAGCGCATTTTGGACTCTCAAAAAGGATCCTATTATTCCACTATCGATCCAGATGACAGCGAAAGGTCTTAAGGTGTGTTGGGGAAGGTTTATAAGATCCTTAGTAGGGTAGTAGAGCGGGTTCTGGACCAGCCACCTGGTGGTGACCTTGGAAAGTAGGCCAAGGCGAGTTCAAAGGTCGCCTGTCACGTAGCGGTAACCTTGGAAAGTAAGTCAATGAGTCTATGGAAAACCTCCTTCCCTAGAATGCATAACATGTTGCGTCCTAAATAAAGACCTGCCCATTTTCCAAAATGTCATCGCCACCGTCAAGCCTAATTGAACAAATTGAAAAATTGAAGGGTCGAAAGAACTTTGCCGATTAAAAATTTGCTGTACACGCATATATGGACCACGAAAATCTATTTAAGCACAAAGAAATTGACACACCGGTGTGTAAATCGATCGAGATACAAAGAAATATCGTATAACTTTCGGGTTTTCAGCATCATTCTCGTACTATTGTGGTATTCCTGCATCGCGTAGTTTGAAAGTCATTCCTGAAGTCTATAATTTATGAATTTCATTTAAATGTCTTAGAGCAGGTATGTCAAACACGCGGCCCATCACGATGTCTGCAAATTATAAAATTTAATTGTACCGTGTGTCCTATTTAGATTGAGATTGCAGTGTATTTCAGATATTTTTAAAGGTAAATGTTTGCAGTTTTTACGATCCTGTGCCACTATTTGGCGAAACTTTTAATACCACAAACAAAATTAATCTAGCTACTTTTGCTCCTGAGATACAGGGTGAAAATGAAAAGTTTTACTTTTTGAGATGTATCACATCACTGATTATTTTGGGACACTTTTGGCACACCGTTCCTGAGATTTGACCCAAAGTTGATATTGTTTAAATGGAACAGCCTGTATATCTTAACGTAATTTTTTGCATTCCCTTTCCTGATTACATCCTATATTTTTGTATGTAACTATATCATATTTCTTAAAATTATGAGATGACATGTTTCTACAGTCAGCCATTTTTATTGAATGGCATCGGTTGCCTTAGTTACCATGGGTACAATAAGCAAATCAAAATCTCCACGAATCCATGGCTTACTATTAATTGCTAAAATTTAATAAAATATATAGGTTGTGATACTTCAATGCAATCGGGAACAGGATAGCAAAAAAAATAGAACACACGGTACATTTTCTAGAGCATGATTTTATGACTATTTGTGTTTTTTCGCGTTTATTGTATTATTTTGTATACTTTTTCTCTTAATAATAATAAAATCCAAATTATCTTACTGTGGATTTTTTTGTGATGATTTTTAATTTCACTTTGGCTGGCCGGCCGGCTGGCTGGCAGCAAATTCGCGCCCGTAGAAAAACCTTTGTAGAAAGACCAAGAGTGTACGTGTACCAGGGCCGTATAATTAACAACTTTAGGGACGGTTAGGTAATGCGTCTTCTAGGGGTGGTGAACTTCGGGCGTCCACAAGTTATACCTTCCGCTGCAAAGTTTGGTACGCGGTTTAAAGTTTCGTAAAGTTCGAATCGCGCACTTTCTTTCACGTGTCGCCAATAGAAGCTCCGACTATGAGAAGTGTCCCAAACACTGGGGCGTCAGAAGTGGGTACCGACATGGAGAATGTGGTAGCCCCCGACAAGTCTTACTGATGGTGGAGTGGAGCAAATAAAACACTCATCTGCCACACAAAAATGCACTCAAGTCCCTTCGATCCCACACGAGGATTTTAATAATTCTTTTTATTCGAAATTAATTAGTTCACTTAAATTTCATAATTGTTGGGAGATGTATGAATAATTGTTCCTGTTCTTCAAGCTCCTCTTCGTCATCACCGAATTCCTCAGGTAATTGATGTTCGGCATCCAAAGACCAGGCTAGTGCATTTCACAAGAAGTGTCTTCAGATTCATTTTTACCAGGGATATACCTGCAGAATTTTAAATTTCCCACTGCTAATGGTTTCACATCAATTGAGAGATTCTATCGCACATTTTTGTGATAGAGCGTTGGGCTATAAATCCGGAGGTTGGGTGTTCGAACCTGGGTTGACGTGAATTTTTCATCTGTGGCAGAGATGGGAATTACCTCAGACCAGTTTCGAGCATTCTGCCGGAAAAGAGTATAGATAAAAACGACACCAGGAACACCCTAAGAGAAATCTCCGAATATTTTTATTTTTGATATTGGAAAACTTTCGACAAAAAATTCAAATGGCTGTAACTCATGATCTAGTAGCCCAATCTTGGAACTGATGGAAATTATTGATTCTACAGGTCACATTCTATAAGAAAATGTTTTTCCCGATCGATCCGAGACAATTTTTTTTCCAGCTCAAAAAAAGGCAGTGTATAACCTTCGTTTTTTACCAAAATCGACTACACAAAAATTTCTCGGGAAAAAACTTTTTCTTAATAATTTTGGTGCGTAGAATCCAAAACGATTCGTACTTTTTCGATTAGACGCCTCAATCAAAAGTTATGGGCAAAAAACCAATTTCGACAAAAAATTCAAAGGGCTGTAACTCATGATCTTTTTTTACCAAAATTTTCTTAAGCTAATTTTTCCGTAATTATTTTTATTATATAATTTGTGGCCCTACGGTGGATCGATTTAGAAAACGAAGCTTTTAATGCCGCCGTAAATGCTCGAAATGCTGGCCATCACGATATATATATATATATATATATATATATATATATATATATATATATATATTATATATATATGTTACAGGGAAAGTGCGAAATCCAGTGATTATATGAAATTACTAGTGATTGTACACATTCACTGAACAAACTCGTGAAAGTAAGAAATCGGGTTCAAAAGAATATCGAATTATCACATTTCCTAGAGAATGTATAAAATCACTAGGTATTCTACACAATCACTATAACGTATCAGTAATTGTAATAGTTAATATAAAATTTATTGTGAAACAAGCATTATACATACAATTCAAAACAACGTATCGATCGAAGTACTAATGGATAAGTAATATACCCACTCTAAGGTAACAATGGATGGGTATAGAGAAGATGATGAAGAAGATGCTATTTGTGACAACAAGGCAATGAACCATGACATTTAGAATTGCACAGTTTTTCTTGTTTTTTTGCAGAAACATCGTTTGGAATTTGACATAAACTACGAAAAACACACACAAACAAAACAAAACAGTCTCAATCGCACGTTACAACAGCTTTTAGGTTATGTTTATGTCACGTTGTGCAATATACCAAATGGCATTTTATTTCCACTAGAGACAAACAGTAATTGTATAAAATCACTAGTGAAAGTAGGTTTATTGAATTGGATCCTACTTTGACTAGTCTTTTTAGTAAATGTGTACAATCACCAGGGAGAGTATACAACACCTGATTTCGCACTTTCCCTGTAACATATATATACACCAATATATCGAGATGCTGTTTTCGCGAGCTTGTTTAGGCATCATTTAGCTACTTTTTCGTGAAAAAAAATTGAACAATGCATTTAATTTTTTTGAGAAAATTAACCATTTCTGTCGGAATGTCGAAAAAAGCCCTCAAGCGGTGATATGTGAAACTAACAAAACTTCAAATATTATAATATTTGTAGCTGAAGAATAGCTCTTTTGAACTAACCCGAGTTTGTTTAAATCGGCTCAGCCGTTTCGGAGATACAGGGTGTTCTTTACGGAAACCCTTGAATACCCCCCACCACTTCATTTTTAGAGAT